TCCTCTCGCCTAAGTAGGTGAGCAAACTTTAAAGGCGTATAACTCAAAAAATAAGCTAGCTATCAAAAAGTTGTCAATTGCAAAGTTGCTCAGCATAAAATTTCACACATTCTTATAGTTAACAACTTTTTTATAGGTACTGTAGTTTTGAAGATATGCGCCTTTAAATAAATAACCTATAAAATGTAGTCCAAAGTCTACAATTTTCAGTCCCCTGCGCACCTGGAACCTACCACTCGTCGGCGACCAACGAATGTGAACTATGCCCAATCGGAGAGTACCAACCACTCACCGCCCGTACCGAATGTTTCAAATGCGCTCCAGGGCAGATAACAGCGTCGGAAGGCGCGATTTCCGAGGGAGAGTGCAAGGACAACTGCCCGCCTGGCCATCAATACGATCCATTGACTTCTGGATGCATTACATGTGGTTACGGTTACTTCCAACCCGTATCTGGATCCTTTGAGTGCATCCCATGTGGAATCGGGAAGACTACATTGTCCGAGTTTGCGACAAGCGAGGATGAGTGTCGCGATGAGTGCCCTGGTGAGTTTTTCTGATTTTTCTATACTTTAGAGACGTTTCCAGGCTTTGAAACTGCAAAATTCGAATTTCCCATCAAATTCTACTCTAGAAACCTTAAAAAAACGAAAAAAAAATTTGGTGGCCGAGTTTTTGGATTTTCTAGGCCACCATGGGTAAAGTTAGGCCATGTGCTTATTTTTGCTTGGGAATTAGGGTTTCTAGAGTGATTTTTCATCAAAAATTCGATTCTGGTATTAATTATACCTGGAAATGACTCCTATTTCCAGAAAACCTGGTTTTCGATATTCTGAGGGTGGTCTAGAGACCCAAATTTGTAATTTTCGAGTATAATTTTGCATTTTCACGTGTTCAAACTAGCGAATTTGCATTTCCCATTGAATTCTACCCTAGAAACCTTTAAAAAAACAAAAAAAATTTGGTGGCCGAGTTTTTGGATTTTCTAGGCCGCCAGAGAAAAAGTTAGACCGAGCATCGATTTTTGCTAAGAAACATGATTTATAGGGTGATTTTTCACGACGAATCTGATTTTGATGTTCATTTAATATGAAAATGAATCAGAAAACCAGAAAAATTTATTTTGCGGTAATGTTGCGCTACACAAGCCGCAACTCAGCCCAAAATGGCTCAAGTTGACTGAAATTATTTGAATTTCTTGAATTTTTTCCAGATGGCGAACAACTCTCATCTGCTGGCGTCTGTCAACCGTGCCAAGTCGGAACATATCGATCGAGAGGAGAGAACAAGAAATGTGTGACGTGTCCACCGGGCACCACCACCGAATCGACAATGTCGACAAGACGAGAACAGTGTAATACGCCGAAATGCAAGCCCGGACAATTTTTGGTCAAGGAGACGTGAGTGATTTTGGAAAGTTCAGAAAAATCACTGAAAATTGGTTGTTCTAACCCAAAATTCAGTCTAGACAACTAATTTTTAAATTTTTGATCGTAATTTTACAGTTTGACATTTTGAAACTAAAAAATTCAAATTCCTCATGAAAATCTACCCCGGGAAGCAAGAAAAAACACAAATTTTCCTAGTGGCCGAGTTTTTGAATTTTCTAGGCCACCAGGGGAAAAGTTAGGCCACGCATCGAGTTTTGCTGACGAACTTGTTTTAAAAGTGATTTTCAATGAGAAATCCAATTTTGATATCCGTTTAATCTGTGAATTGTTCAGCACACCATAAAATTCATTTTCTACAATATTCGTGTCTTGGAAGGTGGCCTAGAAAACCAAATTTCAATTTTTCGACCGTTATTTAAATTTTTACATCCTAAAACTAACAAATTTGAATTCTTCATCAAAATCTACCCCAGAAACCAAGAAATAACACAATTTTTGATGGTGGCCGAGTTTTTGGATTTTCTAGGCCACCCGGGGAAAAGTTAGGCCGTGCGCGTATTTTGAGTTGGGAATATGGTTTTCAGAGTAATTTTTCATGAGGAATTCGATTTTGATAACGGTTTAAGCTGATAATAATCCAGTAACCCAGAACATTCATTTTTCAACAATTTGGATGGTGGCCTAGAAAACCAAATTCGTATTTTTCGACTCTAATTTTGCATTTTTGAACGTTTTACCTCAGAAAATTTCAATCCGCCATCAAATTCTAGCTCAGAAACCAAGAAAAAACTAAAAAAAATAAAATTTTCGGGGTGGCCGAGTTTTTGGATTTTCTAGGCCACCAAGGAAAAAGTTAGGCCATCTACATTTTTTGGGTTGTGAACAATGTTTCTAGAGTGATTTTTAATGAGAAATTCGATTTTGACATGTATTTTTTTTGAAAACTGTCCAGTTCCCCAGAACATTCATTTTCCCCAATATTTGTAATTTGGAAGGTGGCCTAGAAAACCAAATTCTTAATTTTCAACCGGAGTTTCACACTTTTGAGTTTCCAATTTAACAAATTCGGTTTTCCCGTAAAAATCTACCCCCGAAACTGGGAAAAAACAACAATTTTCATGGTGGCCGAGTTTTTGGATTTTCTAGGCCACCATGGGAAAAAGTTAGGCCACATCCGTATTTTGGCTTGGGAATATGATTTCTAGAGTGGTTTTTGATGATAAATCCGATTTTAATCTTTATTTCCAGCAAAAATGAAGAAAAAACTCGGAAATTCTGATTTTTTTTTGGTTTTCTAGGCCACCAAGGGGAAAAGTTAGGCCATCTGCTTTTTTTTAGAGTGCGGATAATGTTTCTAGGCTAGAATTTTGTGAGGAATCTGATTTTAATGTGTATATAAGATTCCAATACGGCGGAAGTCTGTTAATTGGCATTTTAAGCTATCCAAAACATTGTGAAGCCATTAGGGCCACATTTAGGCATACAAATTCAGCCAAACTCAAATTTCTCGCTCTTAGACTAAAATTTCGCGCTTAATTCTGTTTTAAAATGTATTATTTCAGCAAAAACTGTCAATTCTGTCCGCGTGGAACATTCCAAAACGAGGAGCAAGAAGCCACCTGCAAGCTATGCCCCACGGATCACACCACAACGGCTCCCGGAGCCACAGCCGAGTCCCAATGCTATTCAACGAACCAATGTGCAACAGGAGAGTACAATTGCTCATGGCACGCGAATTGTATCGATTTACCCGATGAAAATGATGTACCTAGCTATGAATGTCGCTGTAAGCCGGGATACCGTGGGAATGGTACACATTGTACGGATGCTTGCAATGATTTCTGCTTAAACGATGGAATTTGCAAGAAAAACAACATTGGAAACGTCGAGTGCATTTGTAAGGAGCATTTTAGTGGCGATCGCTGTGAGCTACGCTTCCAAACCTCTAATAATAAGACATGGATCGCGATTATCATTGTTGGAGTCGTTGTGATTGGAATATTCATTGTCATTGTTGTATTCATCATCTCTTTCCGTTTCAATCATGTACAGGATGCACAGGAGAAGAGCTCAAATTTCGCTGACTTGTCGCCAAGTGCCAATAATATACTTTATGGGACACCGCCAGTTTGTAAGTTAGACATTTGAAATTTAAAAATTCAAATTCCTCATCAAAAATTAGTCTAGAAACCAAAAAGAACCACTTTCTTACGACCACTTTAAACAGAGTTACAGCTAGGGGTCAGAGACGCAGTGTGTCTCGTTTCTCTGCGTCTCTCAAAGTTTTCAAACGCCCATAACTCGGCTCAAAATTGTCGTAGAAACTTGGTTTCTTTTGGTTTCAAACCGGGATTTGATAGGAAATTTGAATTTCTTGTCAAAAATTGGTCTAGAAAAATGTTTCCTGGAATTTGTATTATTTGAAATTTCAATGGGGACCTAGAAAATTAAAGTCTGATTTTCGGCTGGAATATGACGATTTCAGATTGTGAAACTATGAAATTCGAATTCCCCATGAAAATCTACCCTGGAAACCAAGAAAAAAAGCAAATTTTCATGGTGGCCGAGTTTTTGGATTTTCTAGGCCACCATGGGAAAAAGTTAGGCCGCATCCTTTATTTGTGTTTTATACATCTTTTCTAGGCTAGTTTTTGATGAGAAATATGTTTTTAATGTTTGCTTCACATGAAAATAGCCCAGTGTCCCGGAAAAATCAATTCCTCAAAATTTGGAGTTTGGAAGGTGGCCTAGAAACCCAAATTTGTATTTTTCGGGTATAATTCTGCATTTTCACGTGTTCAAACTAGCAAATTCAAATTTCCCATCAAATTCTATCCTTGAAACCAAGAAAAAACACAATTTTTCCTGGTGGCCGAGTTTCTGGATTTTCTAGGCCACCAGGGGAAAAGTTAGGCCATGGGCGTATTTTAGTTGGGAAAACACGTTTCTAGGTTAATTTTTGACGAGGAATTCGAATTCGAAATTTATTGAATGTGAAAATGAAGGAGAAACTCAAAAAATTCAAAAAAATACTCGTTTTCTAGGCCAACAATGGGAAAAGTTAGTCCCTACTCATTCATGGGCGATTTTAAGCCCTTTGACGACATTTGAAAATAGTTTCTAGACTAGAATTTTGTGAGGAATCCGTTTTTAATCTCTTCAAAAATCAAGGGTTCCCTTAAATATATAGGCATTTTCCAGGCGAACCCCCTCGTGCATTCGGCTACTACTACGAAGATGATGATGTCTACGAAACAAAGACCCGAGATATGATCGGAAATGGTTCGGAGCGGCGGCCAACAACATCTACAGTAACCTCAATGGGTCAAACCATGAGCCGAGCCATCGAGCAGCACAAATACGACATCCGCATGCGACAGGCGCAACAACACATGTACCAACCCAATAATGAAGAATAGAACAGTTTAAAGGCACATAACTTGCTTGAAAATTAAGCTAGAAACATTTTGAAAATTGTAAAATGTGTGAAATTTTACGCTGAGCAATTTTGCAGTTGGCAAAATTTTGAAAGCTATTTTAGTTTTTGAGATATGTGCCTTTAAAGATTATCGATATTTTTTCTAATTTATTGTTCTTAGACGGGTCCATTCAGTTCTTTCTTCTTAAATCATTGTGCTCTTTTTTCTGCTTCTTCTTGCAAATGGAAGAAAACTTCTCACAAAATTTCTTGATTACCGATTCATTGATTTTTTGAAGCTCCGCCCCCTTTTCTCCATAATTCGTGTAAATATTCCGATACATTGTACCTCATATCTTTTTTCTCTGAAATTTTTTTCCTTACAGTTCTTTTTTTGAATGAATGATTGATTTTTTGATTGCTCAGATTCTTTGGAAAATTCAGAAATTCAGAAATTCAGAAATTTAGAAATTCAGAAATTCAGAAATTCAGAAATTTAGAAATTCAGAAATTCAGAAATTCCAGCAAATTCAGAAATTCAGAAATTCAGAAATTCAGAAATTCAGAAATTCAGAAATTCAGAAATTCAGAAATTCAAAAATTCAGAAATTCAGAAATTCAGAAATTCAGAAATTCAGAAATTCAGAAATTCAGAAATTCAGAAATTCAGAAATTCAGAAATTCAGAAATTCAGAAATTCAGAAATTCAGAAATTCAGAAATTCAAAAATTCAGAAATTCAGAAATTCAGAAATTCAGAAATTCAGAAATTCAGAAATTCAGAAATTCAGAAATTCGGAAGTTCAGAAATTCAGAAATGCAGAAATTCAGAAATTCAGAAATTCAGAAATTCAGAAATTCAGAAATTCAGAAATTCAGAAAATCAGAAGTTCAGAAATTCAGAAATTCAGAAATTCAGAAATTCAGAAATTCCAGCAAATTCAGAAATTCAGAAATTCAGAAATTCAGAAATTCAGAAATTCAGAAATTCAGAAATTCAGAAATTCAGAAATTCAGAAATTCAGAAATTCAGAAATTCAGAAATTCAGAAATTCAGAAATTCAAAAATTCAGAAATTCAGAAATTCAGAAATTCAGAAATTCAGAAATTCAGAAATTCAGAAATTCGGAAGTTCAGAAATTAAGAAATGCAGAGAATTC